CCCCCCCCCCCCCCCCCTCCTCCTAATCCTCTTCCAAACTTCCTCCTCGTCACACTCAACCAACAATCATTCGCTTACGCCTTTCTCTCGATCTCTTTCACTTGACAGCAACTGCATCAACCCCAGCAACCGACCAAGACTTTCGTTTTTCGACAGCGACTTGACCTAGACTCCAGTCTACAGTCTTGTGAGTTTTGACACCCTCCACTCCCCTCACTGCCCACGCAACAGACACAACTACCCACCTCGCTTCCTCATCCATTACACTGTCACCCACCCACAAAACTGAGCCACCACTGACTCTTGTCTCAACCAGTACCTGCAAAATGTCTGCTCCTGGCTCTCCCGCTGGCTCGAGCCCCAAGATGTCCGGTCATCAGGTGACCTTGCCAGCGCGTCCTGCCGGCCCGCCTCAGCCTTCCACTCACGCTCGTACTCCCTCGGGCGTCTCTGCTGCCTCGGGTGCTGCTCCCGGTCAGGCTCGCTCCAACTTTCCGCCCCCTCTTGGTTACGACCCCGGCAAGATGGACACTCGTCCCCCGTTGAGCCACGAGGAGCGTGTCGGCAAGCGCGTCGACTTGCCTGCTGACGCCTACCTCAAGGCCGACATCAGCAGCACATTTGCCACTCGTAGCGGCTTCAACTCCGAGGGCACCCCTACCAGGCTCTCCGTCAACCAGTATCCTGTCACCAGGATCGCCAACATGGATGTTTTCCAGTACGACGTTGCTCTGAGCCCTGAACCCACCGGCGGCGTCGTTTACGACAAGGTCTGGAAGTCCAAGGCTGTCCAGCAGAAGCTTGCTTCGGTCACCAAGAAGCCCTGGATCTACGACGGGCGCAAGCTGGCCTGGTTGGCCCAGTCGGTTGACGAGATGCGTCTCCTGGTTGACCTGGATGAGGAGCGCGGTCGCAAGCCTGGCGGCGAGAGGAAGAATGCCTTCCACATCACCATCAGGCCCACTGGTAAAGTCCGTCTCCAGTCTCTGAGGGCTTACCTCATGAAGACCGCTCCTTGGGACAACCATGTGCTCGAGTGCATGAGTTTCCTCGATCACTTGCTCCGCCAGGGACCGTCAGAGCGCATGAAAACTATCAAGCGCAGCTTCTTCCACCCCTCAATGCCCGGCCGAGAGCTCGATATGCTCCTCATGGCGTACAAAGGCGTGTACGCTTCGTTTCGCTTGAGCGAGAACGTCAAGCAGATTGGTCTGGGTGTCAATGTTGATGTGAGCAACCAGACCTTCTGGAAGGCCAACCCAGCCGACAAGATGATCAAGTACGTGATCAACACTTACGGCGGTTTGAGAAGAGACCAGCTCCAGAACCTGGATGACCAGATGATCACCAGTGTGTTGAAGCCCCTGGTCAGCCAGGGAAGGTACGAGCAGTCTGAGGCCATGAGGGCTCTGCGCCGCCTGAAGGGCTGTCGCTTCACGCTCTCCCATCGCCCCAATGAGACCAAGGAGTACAAGATCAAGGGCTTCGCCTTCGACAAGAAGTACGGCCCGAACGGCGCCAACTCCTACAACGTCAAGTTCAACTGGAGACAGCAGGATGGCACTGAGAAGGAGATCTCCATCAGGGACTACATGAAGGAGAGATACGGCTATCTGGTCCGTCAAGCCGGCTGGCCCGTCATTGAGACGACACGTGCTGGATCTTTTCCTGCCGAGGTATGCAACATCGTTGCCTTCAACCAGTACCAGTACAAGCTGGACCCTCAACAGACTGCCTCCATGATCAAGTTTGCCGTTCAGCGCCCGGACCAGCGCAAGAAAGACATCAGTGCGTCGGTTCAGCGTCTCGACTGGGCCAACGACAAGTACCTCAAGGCCTTTGGTGTCAGCATCTCGCCCGAAATGGCCAAAACTGAGGCCAAGGTGCTCAGGCACCCTGAGGTGTTCTTTGAAAAGAAGACCGCTAGACCCCTGAACACCGGTCGCTGGGACCTTCGCGGCGCCCGGTTCATCGAAGGCAACAAGGAGCCCTTGACCCATTGGGGCTTCATTGGACTCAACATGTGTGTCGACGGGAGGGCGGTGAGCAACTTTGTCCAACAATTCACGAACATCTACAAGGGACATGGCGGCAGAATTGCGAAGAACCCCTATACGACCAACATCAATGCAAACCCAGCTACCCTAGCCGACGAACTTCACAAGCACGTCCCCCAGATTGTCGCAGGTAGAAAAGACCTGTGCCCGCAGATCGTGTTCATTGCCGTCCCGGACAAGTCTGCTCATTTGTATGAGCGCCTCAAGAAGATTTTTGAGTGCCGCTACGGCATTGTCACTCAAGTCCTGAATTGTGACCACGTCAAGAAGGCACAGGGGCAGTACATTTCCAATGTCTGCATGAAGGTCAACGCAAAGTTGGGCGGACAGACGTCCAGCCTTACTGCCACCAAGGCCAAGTCTCACAACTTCTTCACCAGGCCCACCATGATGATTGGTGTTGATGTGACTCACGCATCGCCGGGCTCAGACATGCCGTCTATTGCTGCCATGTGCGCCTCAGTCGACGTGGAGGGTTATCAGTACCGCGCTGCCGTCCAGACCAACGGCTGGCACAACGAGATCCTGACCGACGAGAACATCAACACCTGGATTCCCACTTTCCTCAAGGCCTACAAGGAGAAGACGGGCAGAGAGGTTGAGGATATCTACTACTTCCGTGACGGTGTCTCCGAGGGCCAGTTTGCCCATGTCATGGAGCAGGAGGTGAAAGCCATCAAGAAGGCCTTCAGGGAGAGGAGCAAGAAGGAGGCCAAGATGACGGTGATTGTGGCCACCAAGCGCCATCACATTCGCTTCTTCCCCGACAAGGGAGACAAGAACGGCAACCCCGAGCCTGGCACGCTGGTGGAGAGGGAGGTCACGCATCCCTTCCACTATGACTTCTTCCTGAACTCGCATTTTGCGCTCCAGGGCACGGCGCGTCCTGTTCATTACCACGTCCTTATGGACGAGATCAAGCCCCAGGTGAACAACTTGCAGAGGATGATTTACCAACAGTGCTACACCTTCTGCCGTGCCACCACGCCCATCTCGTTGCATCCGGCTGTCTACTATGCCCATCTGGCGGGTGCGCGTGCCCGCTGCCACGAGAACCGGGACTATGGTAACAATACACGGGTTCCTGAGAAGGTCAGGGACCAGGTGAACAACCCGAACAACTTGGTTGCCAAGCATCAAGATCCCACTACTTACAGCAGCGACTGGAAGAAGAACAACCCGCCTCCAAGGCTGATTCCCATGCAAGCCCGCATCCACAACACCATGTGGTGGGTCTAATCTTGGTCGCTTTGGCTGGCCTTTCTTGACGGCACTTGAGTCGGTCATTTCAGGACATTGTTGCCTAGGTGGAACATGTCGACGGTGGAGAGGGGTGTGATTGGTAAGCGGCATGCAAAGGGTTTGGGACTTGGGAAGGTTTTCGTGACCCATTGGGGTCAGATATATTTGGACGACATGAGCGATGGTGGTAGTATAGGATGATCAATGGATCATATAGCGAGATGCTGGTGGCCGTGGAGGGAGTCAATACTTGGGAGGATCTTGAGACCGATATATGGACAGGATTCATGGATGGCACTTGCACAAACAGTTTCCGATCCGAGTCTGGGTTTCTTTTCCAGTATTACCAGTTCTACATAAGTCCATAGCATAAGAAAGGTGCCGTTTACTTGAAGCTTGTTTCTCGAATGTGCATAAGTGAATGACTGTGATTCTGTGCAGTGACGTTGGTGCTGTGAATGGGTGAAGCAACCGAGAATGCCAATGTTTGGGAGTCTCTGAGATATGGTTCATGTGGTGATTGATGGCACGCGAGTTGGTTTGTATTGCCAGCCCGGTAGAGACATCGCGTTGGATTGCATGGTATAGCGGTTGATTGATGATTGATGGGCTTGATGGTGGTTTGGATGAAGGTATAACTTGGTGGTGGTGGTGCTGCTCACTGCGTGTTGCGAGTGTGTCATTAACCTTTTGGTGAAATCGGATGTAAGGCCAACGCTTTGATTTTTTGGCCCAGGCTCTTTGGTGTACCAACGACAGGATCTTTTGTTTTATAAAAGTAAGTTTTTTGTGGTGCCACTTTACAACTTTTGGATGCTAATACAAAAAATCTTGACGCGTACGTTGGGAAATTTAGATACGAAACTTGAACTTGAGGGCGAAGCTGGAAGACGAAGCCGGAAGCCGAGAGGTAAGATGGGATACCCGAGCAGATCCGGATGCCCAGCTTCATATTGTTGGACTTCTTTTTTTTGTTGGGAAGAAGGCCACCAGTCTCTCTTGAGTAACTGGTATGTACCAAGTTTTGGGTGGGGGGCTGATTGGGGGAGTGATGATTGTAGGTATTTGCCTTGGATTGCTGACTGGACAAAGATTCATGAAGGCAGAAACGCTAGGAGGCTGGAAGAGGAAGAATATCCAGGTTGGAAGAGCAGAAGAGTTCTGGCTGGAAGAGCAGAGGAGTTGAGGAAGGAAAAGGACAGAACGCCGGAAAACCAGGAACGCGAAGAAAATCTCGAAGAGCCAGGAGCCAGGAAAGCTAGAAAAATTAGGAGAGCCACGAAGCCGGGAAAGTCAGGAGCCAGAACAGTGGGCAAAGAGGAAGACGATCAACAAAACCCATGTATCGACACCGAAAAAAACAACTACCTCCACCACCTCCGCCTGCCCATGGAGATGGACGAACCCGTCAAGGCTTACAGAATCCCCTAAGCGAGGGTACTTATTCCCATCCTCGAGCTGCACCGTTACCACCATTACCACCACCACCAGTACAAGCACAAGCACAAGTATCCGATCCAGTCATCACACCAAGTTCAAGTTTTCCACTTGGTGGCGGTGCTCTCCCAGGACTTCCACTTGGCACCGACTATAGAGGTACCTCTACCTCTACCCAACCACAACCGCAATCAGAACCGCGACGACGTCCGTTGCGTCCAGCACCATGGAGAACGCCTACTTCCCCTCAACGACCTCCGCCTGGGCGGTGGTTGGATCGGGCACTTGTAGTATCTTCCACCCCTCAATGGCCTGCGCAGAGAAGGTTCAGGGCTGGGTCTCTTCCTCCTATCCACTACGAGCAACGAACATCGCGGGGATCACGGCCAGAGACAGCTCATACTAGAGATGGAGGAGGAGTGCAGATTTCGTCGAGGGAGGGTGCGAGAGTGGTGGTGTCGCCTGTGCTGATAATTCCTTCAGGGCCAGGGTCAGGGGGGATGTCGCCTGCTGTGGATGGGCGACGAGGGCCTTCTGCTTTTGGGATTCCCAACATGAAGCGAAAGATACTAAGCAAATTGCCAACAAGAAAGTTGGTTGCGGACAATGACCACGGTACAGCGGAAGAGAAGGGGGGTGGGGTGTCTACAGATACCTCTAGGAGGGGGGATGACGATGTCGAGGGACAAGTTTTAGGGCTGAGGGTAGGAAAGGGAAGAAAGAATTCAGGAGGAGTGGGAAGGAGACAAAGCGCGGATTCAATATACTCTCAAGACATGGAAATCTCGGAGGGAAGGGAGTCGATCTTCGCGGAGACGTATCATCTGTTCATGTTTGGGGAGCATGGGGATGGAGAAGAGAGGAGTCAAGGGTGTGTGGATAATTCCAAGAAAAAAGGAGAAGACCGGAGATGGAAATGGGAACCACCATGGCTTTTCTCACCTGATACTCCCGGTGCGCCACTCGGAAGCCACTACCGACGCCAGAATCCGATTGTACCTTCAGTTGAACCTAGAGACAAATTGGAAGAATGGCATGGAAGTGAACGAGAGCCGACCAGTCCGACGCCTATTCGCGCCGGGACTACCAATCGCATCATAAGAAAGCCAGCAAGGCTGAACCTGAGACCATCAAGCACCCAGCAGGTATTGAGGACTCCTTCTCCGCTGTCGGCGACGTTGAAGAGGCCTGGACCGCATGTGCCGCATGGGGGCCGTTTGGGGTTGACTTCCGCACCTACTTCCACGAAGGATGTTCCTGCTGGTGGTGCTGGTCATGCGGCTCCGATGTTTGCTCGGGTGTTGACTGCTAGTCCGGAGGTGATGAGTTCGGTTGCGGCAGAGGAAGATGAGAGGAGGGGGATGGTGAGTCGATGGTCGACGGACTCGTCGGACATGTCGGACTCGTCAGACTCGTCGGATGAGGAGGTGGTGGATAGGGAGGTGTGGGCTGTTTCTGGGGGTCCTACTCGGGAAGCATGTGAGAAATTTGGACAAAAGTCGGTAGAAGAACCGGCAAAAGGGCTGCTACAAGGGATCTTGGGTAAAGACTATGAAAGACAGAGACCATCGGAAGAGCCGATACGAGAAACATTATGGGCAAAAGACCGGCCAGCAGGACAAGAGCCTAACGCGATCACTGCCACCGAATCTTGCCGTGTTCTTCAAGAAAACGAAGGTAGGGAGCAACAACAGGACGAAGAACCGATTCCACGGTTCCACAACCTCACTACCCAGCTTGCGAATGTTCAAGCGGCCCTTGACCACATTGTGTCCCAAGTCACAAGTGTCGAGACAGCATTCGGGCGAGTGCGCGAGGCGATGATTGCCTTACGTAAGCAGGCAACGGAGACGCTTATTGATACTCAGCAGTTTTCTGAAGAGGTTAAGGGAGTGCAGAGACAACTGACAGAGGTAAAGAGACAGTTAAAAGGTAAAATAAAGGAGGTTGTTGGCAATGGTGAGAATAGGCCAAAGCAAGCAAGGAAGGAAGAGGAAAATAGTAGACATAAGGAAGGGCATGATGACCAAAAAGGTAAGAAAGCGGAGGACACTCTGTTAGGAGCTGATCTGCGGTTGATTGAGGTTGATATTGACAAAGAGGAACTAAATAGGACATGAAAAGGAACAGTATAAGGAGAGGGAAACGAAGGAGGAACAACAACGTCCGGAGGAGCCACGAGAAGGACCGCCGAAGTCACGGAGGGGACCACCGAGCGGGCCGGCGCCGGGAGGGGCGGAGTGGGTTTGATGCCAATTGGGACACCGAGTGTTGATTTCGGGTAATGCTAGAGATGGGAGAGGTGTTGATGACGAGATGTGACGAGGAGGAAAAGGGGAAATAAACAAAACCAAGCCAGGCGTAGAATTGACCACTTTGACATGAATGTCGCTTGACAGATGAGGTCCAACTAGTCGTGAACATCACCATCGATGTGGTCCAGGTGAAAGTGTCTCATCTTGTTGACGAAATGCTGTATCATTGACAAAGCATCAACCTCAACCTAGGGTAGAGGTTGTGGTGTTGACATAGAGGTAGAGAGTGGCCACGGCAGTGGATGACGACGACATGTGAAGTCCAAACAGACTCCCGTCGGGTGCTGTCACGGGCCGCGCGTAGCCGTGTGGGTCTTGGCATTCGACCGGCACTGCGGCACAACGCTAAGCCCTGGGCGCTGTCTCGGCAGTTTCTAGGCGCTTACTGGATAAGCTTGGCAAATTTACAGGGGACTTTTTTAGCGGATGCAGGTGAGAGCAAGGAAGCCCCGCTTGTCCCGCGGTCACTGCCGTCACCGTGCGTCGGGTCGTTCGTCTCGTTCTCTTCAACCCAACATCATCATCATCATCTTCCATCTCAGCTTCAGCAACCCAAGGCCAGAGAACGGGAGATGCTCCCTCTGACTTGACACCACCAATCACCACCACCACCACAATTACAGCTGCCATACTAACAGTCAGACAGTATGGCCTCCTTCATCCGCGCAAAACAGGCGGGCGTCCAGACGGACCTGTCGCAGAACATCCAGCCCATGCACTTTATGCCCGACGAACAAGCTCGCTACGGCATCAACTCCCAGATCAGCTGTCTTGCCTACGACCCCGTCCAGTCTCTACTGGCAGTCGGCACCAACGAGTCCAAGTTCGGCCCGGGAAAAATCTACGTCTTCGGCCAACGCCGTGTCCACAAGTTTTTCTGCCCACCGCGCCCATCGTCCATCCGAGAGCTACGCTTCGTCGCCAACCGCCTCATCAGCCTCGATAGCAAGAACGAGCTGGCGATATGGGACCTCGACACGGGCAACCAGGTTGCCAAATACGTATACTCGGGCGTCGTGTGCCTGGTGACAGACCCCATGCTGGACTGGGCCTTTGTCGGGTTACAGAGTGGTGATATTGCAGCCTACGACCTCGACCGCGAACGCCCCTCGACCTTTCGCATTCCCAACTTTTGGCGCGAGCGAGACCCCAACCCGACCGCAGGCAGACTTGTGTCGATGCAACTACACCCCAGGGATATCGGCAAGATCTTGATTGCCTACACAAATGGAGCCGTCATCTACTCGTTCAAGCAAAACATTGTCCAGAAATACTTTGAATACGAGCTGCCGCCTGATGCTCCCGGCGGAGACGGCCACGGAATCCACATGGCCCGGAAACCAAAGATCACCCATGCCGTTTGGCACCCCACTGGCACCTTCATTCTGACTGCGCACGAAGACGGCAGCCTCGCCATCTGGGACACCAAAGAAGGCCGTCTCGTCACGGCCAGGTCACTATACCGCACCCGAGTCAACGAGCCCACCTCCAACCCACCCAGACCCATGCGCCTCGCTCCCTTCGTCCGTATCTCGTGGTGCTGCCAAACCGATCCCGACAACACCGGTCTTCTGATTGCTGGCGGCCACAACATCGACGATCCCACCGCAAGCAACCTCACTTTCCTCGAACTCGGTCCCACCCCGATCTATGCCACCTCCTCGTGGGAAGTTCTTGCTGCTCACTTCGATGGCAAGCGCTCTCTCCCCATCTCCACTCCCCCGGGAGCAAGCGTGGTCAACTACGTTCTCATCCCGCGCTCATCTCCCTACTTTAACGGCGCTCAGGACCCCATCGCTGTTTTGGTCCAGCTTTCCTCGGGGGAACTCATCACCTTGACCTTCCCCTCTGGTTTCCCCATCTCTCCAACCAATATGCTGCACCCCAGTCTCTCGTTTGTCCATCCGTTTGTTCAAACAGTAGCTGTATCGACAGTGCCAAGAGCACGCTGGCTGGGCATGGCGGAGAAGAGGAGCTTGGGAGAGCAGATCCTCAGAGGAGGAGTGGAGTACAGTCACAGAACGAGAAAGGAGCAGAGGAATATCGTCCAAGTTCTCCACGCCGATAACATCATCCGCTTGTGGGACGTTGGCCGCGGAGACGAGATTGAGAATGCCATGCAGTGTCAAGTGGACGTTGCCAGGTCGCTCAACCGATTCGAGGGCGGTGTGGAAACGACGGCTATGCACATGGCGCAAGAGACGGGAGAGTTCGCGGCTGGCACAAAGACGGGAGAGGTGATTGTTTGGCGGTGGGGAATCAACAAGAACTTTGGCAAGGAGGAGCCCAGAGCCGAGGAATGTGAAAGGGGAGGCTTGATGGATATTTCCTCCAGGGCGGAACCGAGTTTGAAGGAAGGACTGCAGCCGTTTGTCATGCATAACATGGCTCAGGGGAGGGTGACGGTGGTGGCGGTGTCGGATGTAGGCTTTGTGGCTGCTGGCTCCGAGGGCGGACATCTCTCTATCATTGACCTGCGAGGGCCAAAGGTTATCTACCATGGCTCTGTCACGGAATGGTCCAAGGGCGAGAAGAGGGGGCTGTTTAAGCATTCGTCTAGCTCCAGTCACGGGGGCAAGCCCGAGTGGCCGACAGTCATTGAGTTTGGAGTCATGACGCTCGAAGGCGAGAACTATTCGAGTATCTGCTGCTTCGTGGGAACGAATATGGGGAGGGTGGCTACTTTCAAGTTGCTGCCTTCTGGCCAGGGGTATTCGGTCCAGCTGGCCGGTGTTGCGAACATGGACGATAAGGTGGTGGCTATTTGTCCTATTGAGGTGCAGACGGGGCGGGAAGCCGGTGCTACAGGGCCCATTGTTGCTGGGTTGAGAGAGGGCAAACAGGTTGATGGTGTTTTGGTTGCTGGTATGTCCTCTCTCCCTTGTTCTCCATTTCCTTTCGTTTCGGTCCAATACTAACCCATGCCGCAACAGTCACCCAAACTGAATCCAAAATCTTCCGCCCACCCCACGCCCGCGGCGCCTCCAAATCTTTTGACTCCGGCATCCTCTGTGACGCCGCTGCCGTGACGCCCGCCGACACCTCCATGTCGTCTCACGGCTACGCCCTCGTTGCTGTCTTCAACGACCGAACCCTCCGTTCTTACACCCTCCCGGGACTGCGCGAGATCGCCAAGCATCCGTTGCCCATGCTCGACCCTCTACGCACCATATCAACCGTCATTTCCAAAACCGGTGACGTCCTCGGTTTCACCGGCCCCTCCGAAATCACCGTCCTCCCAGTCTGGGGAGGCAGCGGACGTGCTCTCGAGAACACGCTCGATAACATGATCAACATCGCCCAAGAGCTCCCACCTAGACCCACAATCTCCAACGTCCAATGGCTCTCCGGTACACAGTACATCTCCCCCACAGATCTCGACCTCCTCATCGGCGGCCCCGACCGACCTCCTTCCAAGAGAATGATGGCAGCTACAGACGCAGAACGTAACGGCGCCGGAGTCTACAACCCTGCCGCCGCCGGTGCCGCGGGGTCAAGTACCGCAAGGTTGCAGGGACAGGTGAAAGAGACAGAAGGGTGGGGTGATTACCTCACACGCCAGCTGAACGAGCGCACCGAGAAGTTGAATATCATGGGCGATAGCATGGACAACTTGGCTAACACGACGAGTAAGTGGGCCGAGGACGTGGATGGGTTCGTCAAAAAGCAAAAGAGGGATTTGTTTTTGGGGGGGATCAAGAAGAGTTTCTTTTGAGCGTGTCATATGTGGATTGGGATTTTTGGTGCTTTTAACTGGAGTTGGGAGTCAGCGCTTGGGATAGATAGACCTTGGTGGTCTGTCATCACTTTGGGCAGATCTTAGTGTTGTTTTAAGTGAATGGCATCTTTGTTGTTTCTCTTCAGCCCTGCTTGCACGCAGGTGGGTCTGTGACAGTGTACTATCATGCTATTAGCATTTCGGGGTGGGAGCCCATATCATGCATGGATTTCGAACTCAGATGCGCATTTCTCTTCCCGTCTCTGTCCCTCTCTTGCGGGTTATTTACTCTAGTCCTTGTCTTGGCTTTTTTTAATTCTTCTCCAGTCAGAAAGATGACGGACCGATCACATCTATCGCAATCGATACGAACGGAAGGAAATAAGTCAAAGGTCCAAATGAGTCCACACAAGGCACCATGACGCAAGAACACTCTACCACAACCGTCGCTGTTCACGAAGCCAGGCAGACGGAACGCCCAACGCAGCTCCTTTTTTTTTTTTTTTTTTTTTTTTTTTTTTTTTTCGTCCTGGCTTCTGCATATATGTACGCCCTTGGGTCCCGTGGAATTGAGCGAGCCCCTCTCGCAGGCCCTCGATGATAAATTCCGGATTTGACAATGCATACCGTATAAAATTCCGGGCGTTCATTTCCAACTTCAGGGAAATCAAGCATACATGATCTGTAAGCATCCTGCAACGTTCATGCCCACCAGAAATTGATTACCATTTTCCTCGGGCATGAATCGTTATTGTTGGCTTCAATCACTCCAGAAGGCTCCATTCACTCCAGAATGTCAAGTGCGAACAACAAATCGATGTCTCGCAGGTGCGTACAGCCTGCCTCTCTACATATTTCCTGCACATCTAGAGGTACTGTACCATGGATGTCCGATAATAACTAATAGGTATTTACTGCCTACTGCACTCTTGACCGACCAATTTATTGTCCATTGACACCATCGCCACCGTCACCAACGCCTTCCTCATTGACCACTTGTGCTTCTGTCGGAGACAAAACATGTCATGTCATCCCGCTGCCACAAAAAAATATTCCGGAACACCACATGTCCGTATTTCTATTTGGGACATAGACGGAGACATCAATCCTCGCCGTGACGAAGAGTACAGTTTTGAGCCTATAAGGCTTCCCCCATCCCACACCTTTCTCTGCTCTCCTTTTCTTCCATCATCGCACACATCATCTCATACAACATAAACGCACAAAACACAACAATCATCACAAACACATTGAAGCAAAGTCCATCACCATGGCACCCATCACCATTTCCCGCGTCCTTTGTGGGCTGCTCCTCTTTTTGGGTATATTTGCCCTCCTCGCTGACACGACCAAGCCGGGAAGTGGTCAGCTGTCCAAGGCCGAAAGTAAGACATACAAATACCTCTACCTACCTATCTTCTGTCACCTCCAATCCATATCTCTTTCTCTAACCAAAAACAGACACCACGTTCTCAACAGCGCGGAGACCAGTCTCCACGACAACCCACGCTCCTCTCGTGGTGAGGAGGAGCACACGAACCACCACTATCTTCACCACCGCCAACGTCACCCCGGTCAGCAACATCAGCACTACCACCACCACCAGCAAAACGGCCCTCGCCCGCGCAGAACCCACCCCGTCCAACGTCGTCATCATCATCAACGTACCGACCCCCGCCCCCGGAGCACCCACCCGCGGCGCCGTCATCATCATTGAACCCTCCCATACCCCCCTCCTCCGCGCCGCCCCTCTCCCCGACGACCTCGTCGCCCTCGACCGGGACAACCACCTGGTCTCATGCTACAAATTCGGCTGGTGGAGCGAGCGGCGCAAGTTCATCCGGTCCATCACGGACTTTTGCCACGCGCTGGACGGCGAATCCATGTCCCCGGTCGGCACTCGTCACCCGCTGACGGGCTTCCACCAGCACCAGTGGAACTGGATGGATCGAGGGTTCGAGCTCATAGTCGAGGTGCACATAGTGATTTCGCTCGAAGTCATGGAAGGGTGCGAGTGGGTTTTTGACGAGGGGGAATGTGGGCGGTACTTGAGGATGCCTGTCGACTTGTGTGATACGGATAGCGAACATCACAAGAAGGGCGGGACGGTGGTAGGGCGGACGAGCTATGGAGGGGAGAAGGAAGGGAAGACGTGTTTGCTTTGGAGGGTGGATTGGGAGGGGCTTCATGTGTCGGATGCTGAGCCGGTGGAGGGGTACGAAGATGGGATTGGGGTTTAGTCTTGGTGGTTAGGTGAAGGGGGGTTCATATTTCGGGGAAAGAATCGAGGGAAGGCGAAAAGAATATTTAGGTTTTTTTTTTTTTTTTTTTTTCGTTTTTTTGAATGGGAAAAGGCAGGAAATGGATGGTTGTACCTAGTGGGAAGCGTTTGGACTTGGAAGTACATGATACAACTCACATGAAATTGGATTTACTACCTAGAGGTACCTAGTGTCTTCAGCAATGATTGGATTGAAGTCAAGAACTCGCCGCGCTTTCCAGTTTTCCAATCTTTCACTCACCCGCACACTTTCCTTCCCGTTACCTTCTATTCATCACACCAACAACAACCATCTACCTCACCCTCTTCCTCATCAACAACCTCGCATTCCAATCCGTCATGGCCATCTCATTGATATACCCCGTCTTTGGCCTCCCCTTCTTTTCGTCCGCAAACTTGAACTCAAACTCGTACAACATCCTGGCCATGATGAGCTTGATCTCCGCCACGGCAAACTGTCTGCCCGGACACGCCTGGTTTCCATACCCAAAGCCCAGGACATTCGGATGCGTCTGCCCGGCCATGTGCAGGTGCATCTGGTCTGGAGACTCGTGTCTCTTGCGGTAGAAGCGCATGGGATCGTACTCGTTTGGGTTTTCGTACGTCTGCGGATCCATTTGGTGTTCAAGCATGGGGAAGGCGACGCGGGTTCCGCGGGGGATGAAAGTGCCGTCTTTGAGGGTGACGTCTTGCTGTGCTAGGCGTTGTGGTCCAACTGTGTTTAGGTAGGTATCCTTCCGTTAGTACATCCCGTTGCGTCATCAGAAAGAAAGAAAGACATGAAACAGAAAAGGGAGGGAAAAAAAGACATACGCATAATAGGCGGCTCCCTCCTCTGCGTCTCCTGAAAGAAACTATCCAGCTTCTCCAGTCTGACACACCACTCCTTGACACTCACCCCCCCGCCGCCGCCCTCCTCTTTCATCCCACCCGCCAACCCCGGCGGCCCCAGTTCCTTTGCAATCTCATCCACCTCCTCCTGCAACACCTCCCACCACTGCGGATGTTCGCACAAATCAAACATCATATTCGCCGCCTGGCTCGCTGTCGTATGAATACTCGCCAGCGTCAACACACACTGTCGGGCACTCATCTCCTCCACTCGGACTTCCTCCCCCTTTCCGTGATCCAGCATCCAATCCAGCAGGGTATCCTGTGCTTCTTCTGCCGTGAGGCTCACCTCTCCCCGTGCCGCCTGCGCCCTCTTCTCCTTGAGGGACGCATGCTTGCGCATCTGCTCCCCGACGATCCCCCGCGCAGCTTTTAATTGCTTCAACACCCTTCTCCGCGCTGGGATGAGGGGAGCAACGACCGGGTACATCCAGGGCGGGAACATCTTCATGGTGAAGCTGGCTGTGAACAAGTCGATGCTGAAAGCGACCGAGATGCCGAGCCAGGTCTCGTCGCGGCAGGCCGGGTCGCCCAAAAAGACTTTGGCGGTCATGCGGGAGACTAGGTCGCGGACGGTGCGCTCAAAGTCGATCTTGACCCAGTCGTTGCCGTTGGCGGAGAGTTGGGAGTGGGGAAGGGAGATGTCCCATCCGTGGGAGAGCTCGGTGGAGGCCGAGTCGATGAACTTCCAGAGCTCGGGAGTGAGCTTTTTGCGGAGGACTTCGACGTGGAGGTTGTTGGTGAGGAGGAAGGTGATGCCGTGGTATTCAGGGACGAGGTTCTGTGGGCAGTTAGTGACCCTGCCTAGAATACAAAGGGTTGGTAGAAAGAAGGAATGAAAGGACGTACGGCGACGTTGGCACCCTTGTTACTCAGCTTGCTCAGCGGAATCAAGCGTAATTCATCCAAGTACCGGATGGGTAATATCAGAAAATCGGCGTCGTAGCGTTTGAGGACAAAGGGCATGTTGGGCATCTGTTTTTTCCTTGTCAGTCCATTATTTCCCCCCATCCCCTTTCTGATCATAATTACATACCTTGGTGTAAGCCTCATGCACCAGCTGTCTAGCCCCCATCACGAACCTGGCCTGCAGCAAGAGCGTCGGTTCGAACCATGAACGATAGCCCCAAGTGGGGATCGTGAGCTTCTTGCGCTTGCCGTTGGTAAGCCATTTGGCGGTGGTAGAGAGGAACCAGGATGTGATGAGTATGAGGGCAAAGGTTTTGGGGTAGCTCAGATGCTCAATCCTGTCTTTGATGGCGAGGTGGAAAGGGTTAGCATATGGGTTCATGTTCAGAGGCCCCGGTAGGGAGGAGGTGTTGTGTAGTGTATTCATTGTGCTGTTTCCTTGTGCCTTTTGGGGTGGTGGATGTTTGGTTGTTGAGTGGAGGATGAAGCAGATGATGTGGTATGAGACTGAGACGAGAAAGGGAAGTGGCCGTTGTGTTTTATGTCTCTCTGACTTTTGTTGACCGAGCCAGTTCTAGGTAGAGGTATCTTGTCTGCCCCTGGATATCAGTTCGTTCGCGGCCTACTGTCCTGATTCATTGATTGGTTTCCACAAAGTCTGAGAATCGGAGGCCGTGATGAAGCCGAAAAGCGTGAAGCTATCACATTTGAGCTGGCGAATGTGAGCTGAGGCTAGGCTGGAGTTCAAGTCCGTGAATGTGATCCTCACCAGTATCGGTTCGACACTCGAAGGGAAAATCAGAAACCTTCATCCCCACATGGCCCTTGATGTCTCTGCTCGTCACACACCTTTCAGTTTTTTTTTATTTTTTCAATCTTTTTCAGCTGGAGTTTGGCTCCGTGCCACTCGGCTTGATAGTGATCCTTGAGAGTAACATCGAGTCCAGTGCAACCATACATGTTGCAATATTCAACGGCCATCCCCTAAGATCGAATGTTGTGCATAATGGAAGGAAAAAGCAAGTTGGATCGGGTTAACAGTTCGTGTGGTTACTCCGATCACTTTTCACTTTTTCAGCTGCTGTAGCATCACATGTCCTCTGTGGGTGGAGAAAATCGAGTGATGAAATCTTTGAGCCATCACAGCCGGATGAAGGTTGTTGATCTAAGACAGCCTAGCACATCATCATGTCCATAGTGTGTACATTCCGCAGTGGATGCGGCAAGCACAGTGGATTTCCATAAGCGCGGTGCGGGAGGACATGGAACTGACATGAGTGTGTCTCATTGCTTTGGTGTTGACGCTGAAATGTTTCGGAGTTTCTTTGGAGTATGTGAGCACTGTGCCTGAACTTTTTTACCCTTGACGCGCTGAGACAGGGGTGGGAGCTAAGGTACCTGAATAGGATTTGCGTTCGGCAAGCAAATTTGCAGGAATCGCAAAATGTCCGCACGTGGTGATCTGCGAACATGTCTCGGATGGATGGAGGGAGAGATACACTACTGTAGGGCCAAACGCTAGGGGAAGATATGCTGTGAAGCCGGTAAGTGGCGATGATACGAATGGCGCCCGGGTTGGGTCAACACCATCAGTTCTGTCCGAATAATACAGCGGCAGCTGATGAGGCGGGTTCAGCGTCCACTAAGTGTAGGGGTCAGTCCCACGGCTGCTCGTAACTAATACTGTGCCGGATCATGAGAAGGACGGACACTGTGGTCGATAAGTATCGGGAAGAGGAACTCATAAAAAGGGATTTTAAGGAGATGTCCACTGTGTCTGAAGTAGTAACATGTCATTCGAGCCCATCGTGGAGCCGGGTGGCGGTTGAGCTGGGCCGAAGATCATCACTACGCTAGACGCTGAAGCAGGGGACAAACCACTGCAAGTGTGAAAAGGCCGAAGCCGGGGTTACATCTTTCTGGCAGGACGGCTCGAAGAACCCGAAAATGGCATTGAGGTCGTTGCAGATTTGTCCTGTTGATTAGAGGTACCTAGCTCTCGTATGGAAGCGAGTGTGAAAATACGAGGATCTGAGGTTGTGTTGCCATGTGTAAATGGACACTGGACGGCAGGTGGTGAGTTGGGGGGAAAATAGAAGTACAATACAGGATGTGATGTCAATTGATGGGAAAACCGACGCTGTAATTTGCGCTGCACGTCCATTCAATACAAGAGGTGGTATAATAACGTGTATTATCTCTACAAGGACATTTTTCCACATTGAAATGTTAGGAAGAGCTAACCTGCTATCTGTACCTCACTCCCCCTCCCACGTCATTCCCGCTCACGACCATCATCACCACACAAACCCTACAAATCCCTCACCAAGAACCCTCCATATTGCAATTTCTGAAACACGCCCTCGCCATCATACTTTGCCGCAACTTCCTTGATCAACCCGACATTCTCCTCTCCAAACCCCCGCAGTACATCCTGCCTCTTGTCCGCAAACGTCGGGCAAACAAAGTCCAGCAACAGGCCCCTCTCTTCCGCCGCCGCCTTCACCTGCTCGTAAAGGCGATCCATGGCCGCTTGATGTACCACGTCATCTCCGTCCCGCGGGTACTCCAACGTGAACACGCACCAGTTCTGCGACACCTCTTGCAGACCGAGAGCATTGCCACCTGTGCCGTTATCGCGACCGGCGCGGGCAGCAGATGCAGTGACGGGCTGAATGGTGTAGTGCAGGTCTGTGCCGTCACTGGAAGGGGGGAGCGTGGCGGTTATGTCTTGCCAGATCTTGTGAATGGCGAGGTAGAGGGCCTTGTCCACTTTGGTGGAGATTGTGAAGATGGTGCGTCTGTTGGGAGGAAGGAGGAGGGTGGTGGTTAGCATGGGGTGCAGTGGTGGGTGAGATGAAGAGGGGGAAGGAGTCACGACTTACTTTCCCTTGGGAGGCCGATGTCCAATGGCCTGCGCCAGCGTTGACAGCGTACCATCCGTCTTTGGAACCACAGGCGCCATCATACTCTCCAATTTCCGGAACGGCTCAAACACCTTTGGTTCTTCCTCGGGCGTATCGGCATACAGCTGTCCAATGGCGACGAAATCCCTGTGGACGTTGGTAAAGTACGCCGCTTGGACATCGGTCTCCATCTCCTTGTGCGTCGCTACCGAAGCCTCGATGATGTTGGCGTAATCATCCGGCTTGTACAAGCTGACGGTATACTGTGTCTTCAGCAACGGATACGTCTGCAAGTAGAAGGTGGTAACGACTCCAAAGTTGGATCCGCCGCCTTTCAGAGCCCGGTAAAGGCCCGGTCGGACTTCGGCAGAGCAGTGGACAGTGTGTCCATCTCCAAGGACGACCTCAAATCCCCGGACCTGATCACACCCCATCCCCCTCAGGTTCACAAACCCTGGCATCCCCCCTCCCAGCACAAAGCCCGCCACACCAATCTCCTCGTATCGTCCGCCCATCACACTTCTCCCCTTACCTTCGAGCCAGGTATACACCTCTCCCCAAGTGTTTCCCGCCCCCAAGCTCGCTATCCCTGTCTCCGGGTCAAAGGACTTATCGTTCAACAACTGCAAATCAAGGATCACGCCATCTTCACGAGTGCTGCTGAAACCCGGGTTGGGATTGTGGCCCGTGGCACGCACAGCAAATTTGCATTGCGTTTTGGTAATGATGGAGAGCGCCGTGCTGACCTCGGCTGCCGAAACAGGTTGGAAGTACGCAGCAGAGGGGAGGTGGCAAGTTGTTGACCTGAAAACCGAAGCATGACGTGGTCAGTACCGGAATGAAGAGCGGATGGATGGAGGAACACTACCAAGGCGTTGTAAGAGCCACCATGGGCCTGGAGGTAGGGTCATCGGCGGTGATGACACGCTCTCCGAAAGCGGCTTTGAGCAGGTCACGAGCAGCAGCTGCTCGTTCATGGTCGGTCTTTGGGACGGGAATGCCTCTGATTGAGTGTGGGCGGAAGATTGAGTGCCGTGAGATGGCTAAGAGGTAAGATCCAGTGGATCTGAAGAGCTTGAGAAGGGCTGAGGACATCATCGTGAATGACTCTGTGGTTGTTGTATGTTATGAGTGGTTTTTGCTTGTTGACTGATCGGCATCTCACAAAGCGAAGCAAGAGAACGGTACAGGGCCAGTACTAATAAGGCAACTGGATTTGGGGGCATGAAGCTCTTCTTCTACCCGACCGATTTCGGCCTTTGGTTCATCAGCGTCATTGCTTTGTTTCTCAAGGATCAAGGTAAGCATACCTCTCACACAGGCCCGGTCAAGCTGGAGGATCAACAACCATCACTGGCATCCACCGTCGTGCAGTCTCGGGTCCCGGGATATCATCACCATCACGACCCCGGAGATTTGGTGTTTTACTCAAGGCAAGGTACCTACACACTGAGGTGATCACCGTCATGGATCCAGCAGCCTTAACAGGGGTCCAACTTTTCAGGGCTGCAGCGCGTTATCCGCCCCCTGTCGGGCTGGGCACATGGCCCAAGTGATATTGGAAAATCGGGTGTGAAGGCCCGGCCATAGTGCTACTTAACAGCACCAATCGGTGCACATCCCATCCCTGACATATGGCACACAGTGTCGGTCAGTGCCCACATTCCTGTCTAAGACTGCAACTGAACGCTATTGCGTATACACCCTAGACTGAGACAGTGATGAAATGAAACATCTTTAAACTGAGGTGCCATCAAGGTACGTGATTTTATCACACGCTTTCAAAGCAGTCGGGGAATTACTGTGTACACTACTACCGTACACTTACACTACCTAGTCCGGGTTACACGACAACGGCCCCGATAGCAAAGTCGCACTGGGAAATACGCAGGCCGCCGATCCCAATCCACCAGGCCCCGTGGGAGATCTGGATCGATTCGTCGTGCGTGGAAAGATACCTACCTATAATCGTCTTGACGAACATCGTGAAGCGAACTCAGGCGAGTAGGCCCGGTATGTTAATGCCATCAATGTTAAGTTATGCCCCTGAGGCCGTGCGAGGACCTTAGCGATGCTCTTTCCACAGAGCACATCGATCCTTCAACGACGAGTGTCTTGAGGGCTCCAGTCTTGGAATCGGAGGTGGTGTCCCGCACGGTTGAGTTTTAGCGGGTCAAGATGGAACATGTTGCAGTCATAATTTTCTTTGCGATACTACAGAAAGAAAAAAAAGAAGAAAAAAAAAAAAGGAAAAGAAAGACAAAAAAAGTGAAAAAAGAGAAGGCATCTATTACTTTCATCAACATGGCCTGTGGATTGCTGACTCTGTATACAAGAAGTATCTTTCTCGGAAGAGCGGAACTCGAATGTTTTCAGGCGGCTATTGCTCATGGGTCCCATGGGGTTCCAGCTGAGAATCCTACCTACTCGAGTCTTGAAGTCCAGCTATCGGATTCTTCCAGTGTCTCCATCAGCTTGGTGAT